CGGCCGCCTCAGACATTACATCCTCAATATCTTTTTACCGGGTTTATCTCAACTCTCGCAATTTCCTTTTCTCCCCGGGGTTTCACGTTAGTCTTTGTAATGGCATTGATGTTTCCTCTCTCTCTTTGTCGGTGTATTTGTGGCCACTAAGCCTCAGCAGATGTTGAGGCGCTGGGTTAAAACTTTTTTACCCTCGCTGGCTTTGGTACCTTTGTTTCAGGATGACGGAGCGCAGTGATTTATTTTTTTTAATGTTCTTAACTATCAACTGAAGCCGTGGCGTTGTTTTTATTTGTGACTTTTAATCTCCAAATGAATTAAGATTACGTCTTTCACTATTCCTCTTTTTTTTTAAATCTAATTGACATTACATTTAAAACTCCCAATTAGAATATCCTAATAAATGAATTACACAACCCGAAACGAAAGAGAAGATAGAACAGGGAATAAATACATTTTCAAGAAGATAATTAAGATATATTATTCTTACATTACGAAAATAAAAACAACAATCATTAAAAAAGAAATAGTAAAATATAATAAAATCTTAATACCACAGAAGAGCTTAAAGGAATTTATTTGCTGTACAATATTAACCATGACCTTTGACCCAGTGATCATAGAAGCTCTCTTAAGGAATATAGTATGTACGCATATCATGGTGTTCGGGAAATGAAAACTGTGTTCTAGATATCCTTCAAAAAAGTCTAACAGCAACAAAAATATACAACAACAAAAGATACAACAAAAACATACATCAACAAAAAGATCCGATAACAAAAATACAACGAAAAGGCAAAAAAAAAAAACTACAACAAAGATATAAAGACAACATAAATATAAAAGAAAAACATACAACAAAATACAACAAAAGTGTTATGGGTGACAACAACACTTATGGTCAGTATGGATTATTATTGTAACTAAATCCCACACAAGTGGCCATGTTCCAGCTCTTGGCTCCTAAACTCTTCTTTAACATCAACGTTTCTAAATATCACCCCAGCCTTCTTATGGGTATTCAGTCTCATTTACTCAGGCTCGCAGTTGACAACTAAATACCAATGTAAGATGTGTAAGAGGGAGTGAATGTTTTTTTTCCGTATAGACGAACTGGTCACGTGACTAAGAAAAACACTTAATTTTCCTTCTCTCTGACAAGGGCCGACAAAACTGTTTAATTTCCAAGCAAATAAAAACAGATACATGGAATTAAGTTTAATTTCTTCAAGTTATTTCCTCTGTGTTCCAAGAAACAAAACTTCCTGAATAATCTGAAGTTTGAAACTGTTCGAAGCCAATCTCGGTACTAGGTTAAGGTGAAATAAGGGGAGCTCAGGGTTACTTTTGGAGAGAAAAAATCAAGGGGGAGGGGAGAAAAGGGAAATTTCCAGGGAAAATTAATATGTGGAAAAAAGTCAAAGTACCGACAAGAGGTGTGAAAGCCAAGCAGTCCTGAAGTATCTGTGGAAAGTTTGTACCAGAAGACCTTATGATATATTTGTTTTGTTTACATATAAAATAAACTTTACAACCACGTTACCATGAGAAAGTTACAAGCGGTGTATGAGTCAGAGGTAATTCCGAACAACCTACTGTGACATGTTTTTTTACGAAACGTCCTTGAGATGAAATTTCCGTGTTTACATGGGGATTGTCTGTACGTCCACCCCACCAGCCACAACCAACCCCAGGGACCACACACATGCCTTAAATACACAAAAAACACTTGGAAACAATGCTTGAGGACCTTCTATATAATGAAAAGGAGTTACGACTTTCTCTCTTTCTCTCACTCTCTCTCTCTCCCTCTCTCTCTTGTTAAGGAAGAAAAAGGAACGACGAGAGAGAGTGAAATGTTTCATCGTTTAATATCTCACACAGAGGAGCGACAGTCTCTGGGGTGTTTCTTGTTCCTTCAGGTCTCTTAATTCCCCTTCTTTGCCTTCATTCTTTCTAACGCCCACCAACATTACCTTCTACCTCCTCTCTTAACCTGTCTCCCTTAATTTCTGCTAATTTTGCCCATTAACTATTTGCTTATTTGACCACTCCCTGCTCCCTTCTCACCTTCCTGATTTCCACCCAACCAAAATTACCCTTTAACCCTTCGTACCTAACTTCCCCTTAACGCCCCCTAGTTAACGTCTCCCCAAACATTACCCTTTGACCCCTCACAGTTAACTACCCCTCAACCATCTCTCACTAATTGACCTCTCCCTTTGACTTCCACCTAACAAAAACAACTCACTGACCCCTCGTAGCTACCTTTATCTCAACCATCCCTCTATTTGACCTCTCCCTTTGACCTCAACCAGACAAAATTACCCACTGAGCTCTGGTGACATATTCCCAAAATTCGCTTTGATTACTTCCCGGAGAAGTTTCAATCCAAGTAGGAAATATTTGGTGCAGTGACCATCTCCCAGGACACGACGTCGCCTGAGTAGCTGTCTTTGTTATGATTCAGTGTGACATTCTGGCTGGGAGGCGGAACCGGTGTGCATGGCTTCAAAGGAGGAGGGAGAATCCTTAAGACATACGGTGGTGGTTCGTCGAATAAGGAGGGAGAGGAGAAAGGGAGATAGAGGACAAGAGGAGGAGAGGAGCATGGATGGAGGAAAAGAGGGAGAGGAGAAAAGGAGTAAATAAGTAAGAAGAGAAAATCCTGGGTAGAATAAGTGATGAAGAGGAAAAGAAAATGGATAAATAAAGAACGTGAATTTAATGTTTTAGAGGAGAGAGGAGACTTAGGAACTGTGTAAAGTACTGTAGGTGTAAACAAGTAGAAAGGGAAAAGGAGTTACTATGAAGAAATGTGACTAAGGCAAGAATGGTATTATAAATGAAAAGAATAACAATGACAGAAAGGCTCTTATTATTTTTTTCTATTTTTTTTTACCTAACACCATAACAATTTACATTTCATATACACCAATCTTTAATACAAAACATTTATTACACCTCTAGAAAAAAAAACGCATCAAGAGGTCATATAATATAGATAATACATTTAATCTTTTTATGTGTCCAAGTTTATTAGAGAATATTAAGAAAATGTGATAATCAGAGTTAGTATCAAGTGGAGGTCAGGCACAGTGGGCGTCAAGGGCCAAGCAGAGAGCCGGAGCGAGGGGCACTGGTCATGGGATCTGTACACCAAGGTCGTGATAGGACTCATGTTTACTGGTCATAATCTTTGGCTTCGCCTTCCTGTAAATTATTCTCATTTTGTTGGTGCATGTCGCTACCACGGGCTTCCTATGTTGTAACTTGATATGTATCAGAAAGATCCTGTCTCTGTCAATCTTCCCTGTATTCTCATACTTCGTAAGCTTCGGAAGAATTTAATAAGTTAAAAATCTATGTCAATGTCATTTTACAAATTAAATATATAAATCATAATTTTTATTTTGTCTTGGAAACATGCTCTCTTATTTCAAGCAGTAACTTACAAGAATCATAATAATACTTGTTTCTAGTCACTGAATAATATCCCACTATTTCATCTGTATTTGATATGATGATACAAGTTCAATTACATCAAACTCAAGATATTAAAAACTTTGAACTTCCTTACAGACTTTGCTCTTCATCGTTAATTGCCGCTGTTATATTCACTTTTCTTCTTTATAAACTAAAGCCTGAAGAGCGTTTATTAACCCCTTGAGTACGATATGTTAACCCCTTGAGTACGATGTTAACCCCTTGAGAACGATCACTTAACCCTTTAAGTACGATATGTTAACCTCTTGAGGAGGATCACTTAACTCCTTGAGTACAATGAATTAGCCCCTTGAGTATGATGACTTAACCCCTAAAGTATGATGACTTGATGATTTAAGGGGTTATATCATCGCACTCAATGACAGCAGGATTACATATTTACGTTCATAATAATTACAAGTAACTTTGGAATATTCAAATACTATATACTTCACGACCTTATAAAAGTCTCACTGCTAACAGTATGATGTCTTGAGGTATTCTGTTGGTTTAATATTGATTATGTTAGCCTATGGAAAATCTAACAATAACAATGAAATGTTTTATTATTGTTATTATTATTATTATTATTATTATTATTATTATTATTATTATTATTTCTTTACGTGTAGTAGTAGTATCGCGTTTGTGTCAAGAAAAGCTTTTTAGGGTGGATATAATAATCAATCCATGAAATAAAAATCCATGGTTGAATTTCATAATATTTTTGTGGTCAATAAAATGGTTATAAGATATACCAACACCATAAGAGATCCCTGATAGACTAACTAAACCTAACTAAAGATACTTCCTAGCCGAGGACAGAGATGGTCGCCTCAGCTGTGTCATTACGCTAAGACAAATTGCTGGGGTATCAACTTGAAGATGCCAGATTTCAGAAAATCCATTACCAACAGGACATTAGAACGAAATGACTCAAAGACCAATCACAGCGTAAGAATGCCCACTAACTCCACCCATTGGATGTAGGCCAATCAGATTGGCGCTTCCACGTTGTGGGCGGAGCGTAACAAAACTCAAGAATGTGGGTGGTCTGGGTTGCCGATTTTCTTGGCTTCCACGGGCATGTTCTCAGAAAAGAACTGAATGATGGGGCCTGAAATAGCCGTGTTCATTGCAGCAAAAAATATGTTTCGATGTTTCAATCTTTAGCTTCTTTTACTCAAACATTATAATTACTGAAGCATCCACTCACTATTCTGTAGTGATCAGTGAATAGCAGACTCCACGGCGTCTTCTGTAGGAAACATAACTTTATGTGGTTAATTTTAATGAAAGAGTTTGGAGTGTAGAAGTATATGATAGCAATAAGATTCTCTAGGTTGGGACCCAGCGTGGCCGGGGCGCGTTACAGGCAGGCGAAACAAACAAGCGGATAATGATCGCGGCATTTTACAGAGCTGCCGCCAGGCCCCGCCCTCCATGACCGCGCATGCGCCCTGGGAGGTCCGGGGGCACGATTAGCGCGGGCCCGAAGCAGTGGCACGCTCACCTGGGCACGACCTGACCAGTGCCACCCCGACTTAGAGCGGACTGTGACCCCAGACACAGCGTGAGACGTGTAGGGCAGCCAGTCAGACGAGCAGTTCTCGCCGCGTGTGGTGTTGCGCCCCACGTGCCTCTTACCCGTAAATATTTACTGACTTGAACACTTGTGAAGGTGAGGTAGACTTAGCACCAGCACGGCAGGGGCTGGTGTCCACTACTCGTACCGTGTGTCAGCGCAGCACCACAACAGTCAGGACGGAGCACCGCGGCGTCGCCGTCAGCGCCACCATCGCTACTCTCGGTTATAGGAGTGTGGCGGGTACGGCCGAGTTCGGCGACCTGGCACTACTGGCCAACGCTGTGGCCATGAAGGGTGAAGAGGATGGCGGAGTAGCGGCCCTTGCGCCCCTGGTACCTCCCGAGGAGGCCCCACCGCCGCCCATCACCGAGGTGCCGACAGATGCTCCGACAGGAGTCGCCGCCCCTAATGTCAATAGCGAGAAGACTTCTGGAGGTGGTAAGCGAGGTGGAGCCCGACGGCAGGAGAAGCCACCATATTCTTACATTGCACTCATCGTAATGGCTATCCAGAGCTCCCCACAGCGGCGCCTGACGCTCTCCGAGATTTACCAGTTCCTGCAGCAGCGGTTTGCTTTTTTCCGCGGTTCCTACACTGGTTGGAAAAACTCTGTGCGCCACAATCTCTCCCTCAACGAGTGTTTCATCAAGCTGCCAAAATCCATGGGGAGACCGGGCAAGGGTCACTACTGGGCTATCGACCCTACGGCCGAACTCATGTTTGAAGAGGGATCCTTCCGCCGCCGTCCCAGAGGGTTTCGCCGGAAGGTTCAGGCGATGAAGCCGTACCCCCTCTACCAGGGCGCGGCAACCTCCCTGCCAGGGCCCTACGATGTGTGCGGCCCTCAACTGTCAACGGCCACGCAGTATGGCCAGTATCCCTCCTACCAGGACTACGCCAGTTACCCACAGCCACCCACGTCCTACGGGGGCAACATGTACACCGCCTCCTGCTCGCTACCCTCCTACAGCGGCGGCGGCGTGGGAGAATATCCACCCGCCTCCCCCGGCGTCTACACCAGCATGACGCCCGCCGCGCCCCTCCCGCCAATGGGCGCCCTTGGTGACCGAGATATGTGGTCAGCCCTAACGCCCAACACCACGCCCACCCTCACACCCACGGCAGCCTACGTCAAGCAGAGCAACAGCCCGACAGGTGAGTGGCAGCAAGCGGCCTCGGCCACACGGCCCTGGCGGCCACGAGTCCCGGCCCGATTGCCAGCCCAGGCACTTCCACCAACCATAACACGCTCTATTTATTCGCCTAAAAGGCTTTTAATTTATCTGTTATTTATGGATATAGTCTATATGATAACACGTAACTAATAATGTTTCTTTAATCCATAAACTACATTCATGATGACATCGGTCAAGAAAAAACTCTTTCTCTGAATAAAACAAATAGGTTAATTACTAGAATTAAGAAAAACAAAATGCATTAAAGACCGCAAGAGTTTTTCACTTAAAATTCGGATAAATTTGTTACTTTGAACTGTAGTAAGAAAATACAGTCTCTGATTGTCAACATCGATTGTAAACATTTAGGAATCACCAGGTATGAAAGAGAGCCCTCAGCAGGTTCTCCCCGGGGTCACCGCCTGCCCCCGATAAGCCGCTGACGGCCACAACTCCCTCCTTGATACTGTTATCAGCGAAACAAGAGGCACCAATAGTTATGTTTGTCATAAACGCTAAGCAAACTTCCGGGCAATTATTGTATAATGGTTTAGCTTGGCTGTGGTCCCAAACACACATATAACTGTCAGGCCACAATGTGTGAGAGGCGCCCCCCTGTTTTTACGCTCGTCCCCGTGTCAAGCCATTTCAACACATATTTTTCTTATCCGGATTAGATAAATTCTTCGTTGGTCGGAAGGACGGCCGGGTGACATCTTGCTGGAGGTTTTGTGTTATTAGGTCTGTGTGACTGACTTACTGTGGTGTGTGTGTGTGTGTGTGTGTGTGTGTGTGTGTGTGTGTGTGTGTGTGTGTGTGTGTTGTTGGTATGAGTGCCTATGTTGCCTATATGCCAATGTTTGGGCGCACACGCGCGAACATGTGTATGTGTGTTGTCATAGTTGTGTGTGAGTTGGGAAGTACGTATTTGTTGGTAAGTGGATATGTATTGCTGTATGCGTAGTGCTTAGTGTTGTATAATAATAATATTAATAATAATAATAATAATAATAATAATAATAATAATAATAATAATTATAACGATTTATTGCTATAGCAGCCAAAGGGCTGAAAATATAGTTACAGAATTGGGGTATGGGTCACTTGATGTGTGTGTGTGTGTGTGTGTGTGCGTGTGTGTGTGTGTGTGTGTGTGTGTGTGTGTGTGTGTGTGTGTGTGTGTGTGTGTGTGTGTGTGTGTGTGTGTGTGTGTTAAGGGAGGCGACAAGTTTGTACACGTGTCCTCCTCTACATGTTGTCTTGACTTGACAAATATTGTGATAAACTCTGGTGCCAGCTGAGTGCCAGTAGTGTGACACCACCAGTGCCACGAGAGACAACAATAGTGGCTTTACATATGACTGCATTTTACGTGATTGACTTATGATTTGCTCTTACAACAAATATATTCGGAACTCAAACGTTTTGGCCAAATAGGGGTAAATACATGAAGTCAGTTGCGTAGGTTAGTGAGAATTCGTTCATATATGATCAAATTCACTCAGTTTTATCTAAGACGTCGTTTATTATCATAACATAAACAGACTGTACCAAAATCATTAGAGGTTAGCTAAGGTTAGTTTACTTAGCATATTAATAATAATACTCAAATACAGTTTGCTTTATGATTGTCTGATGACCATACATATATAAAGACCAGTATGAATTCTCTAACAAAATAAATACAGTATATTGATATTATCGCTTTTTGTTACAAACTTCATTTAATATGGGTAATTACTAAATAGCGTTAACTTGTGTGTGTATATATATATATATATATATATATATATATATATATATATATATATATATATATATATATATATATATATATATATATATATATATATATATATATATATATATGTATTTTTCTTTTTTTTTTTGAGGGGGAAAGGGGGCTTTTGACCTAACCTAACATATTATAGGTACAATACAACTTGGCATTCTTATGATGTTAAACAACATCTTCTGTGAAACATAATATTTTACCACACATGAATTAATGGCCATTAAGTGGTAGCAAAAAAAAAAAGTTATTCCTTTTGGGCAAAAAAGTCAGTTACTTTCTAAAGTTTAGGTTAGAATAGATTAGCTCAATATTATTAATGATAACATAACGTAACGTAACCTAACCTAACGCAACGTAACGTAACCTAACCTAACCTATACTACTTGAACATAACTTCCCCAAATCATATCTAGGTAATTTGGTTATTTAAAGAGAGCCAGCGACATTAACTGATTGATACCGAGTCAGTTTTACTAAATAACAATAACAAACAATTATCCCTATTTCGCATGAGGGCTCGAGAGAGAGAGAGAGAGAGAGAGAGAGAGAGAGAGAGAGAGAGAGAGAGAGAGAGAGAGAGAGAGAGAGAGAGAGAGAGAGAGAGAGATCCACCAGTATACCTAAATATAAATAACACTATCAACACTTGTTTACGGGTATTAAAAAATCCAAAATAATCCAGATTAGCTTGTAATAATGTCAGTGATCTTAAGACCAACAAACACCATGCTGTGACGGCCAACCTGTATATTGTCCTTCATGGCACAAACAACAAATACGGCCCTCCGATTACACCTGAGAACCTTGACCCGATTTTTACCACTTTAGAAACACGTAAATCGGTGTTATTATTGACTCAAAAAAAAATTATATATATACTTGGGTTAATAAGCTCCTATAGACTTATTAATTATATTTTCTTTTAATACAAAACAGAGATGTGGTGATTTTTTTTCTATGAGAGACAAGCAAGATATAATATTCTTTAATTGCTTATATAGTATTTTCCTTCATATTTTACTATTCACTATTTATCGTGTGTGTCTGTGTGTATTTGTGAATTTTTATTACGTATTATTTTCCTCTGTAGTTATTCTCTCTTATTTCCCTTTTATTGTATCTTTATCTACCTTCTTTCTGTTCCCTCTCCCCTTCCTTTTCTCTTCTTCCATCTCATTTCTCTCTTCTATCTTCACCACTTTCCTTCCCTTCCCACCTGTTTCCCTTCCTTCTGCCTTCTCCCACATCCTCTCTATACTCCTCTCTCTCCCTACCATCCTTCCCTTTCTCTTTTTCTCTTCACTCTTCCACCTCTCACTATCTCACTATCTTCATCACTACAACTCCCCCCTTTTCTTCATTCCCTCTCCCATTCTCCGTTCTATAGCTTCTCTCTCACTCTTCATTCTCCTTTCCCTCTCCCCTTTCCTCCCCTCTCAATCCTCACTCTCCCATCCCTCTCCTATATTCTCCGTCCTATAGCTTCTCTCTCACTCTTCAGTCTCCCCTCTCTCTTCCCTCTCCCCACTCCCCACCACGGTCGTCATTCATGCCAGGTTGGGGTTGGCCGTTCCCCAACCACAACAGATTACGCTACAGCCAACGTCAACCTGCCATTTGTACAGCGGCAGCCCCCAGAACAACAACAACAGAGCCCCAGCACGCCTCTCAGTGCATTAGTAGTGAGGAGGAGGAGTGGGGAGGAAGAGGAGGAGTAGGGGGAGAAGAGGAGAAGTGGGGGGAGGAAGAGGAGGAGTAGGGGGAGGAAGAGGAGAATCAGGCGGTGGAGCGGTAAAAGTGCCTCCCTATCCTCCCCAATGTTAATTAGTTTTACAGGAAGGATAGGTGGTTTATGGGGGAGGGAGATGAAGGGGAGGGGAAGTAGAAGGAGGAGGGACGTAAATTGCCTTACCCCCCCTTGTTAATTATTCATACAGGAAGGTAGTTAGGTTGTGTGGATGGAAGGTGGAGGGGGTTTAAAGTTCCTTCCTCTCTCCCCACCTTCCTGTCTTAATTAGTCTTACAGGTAGGTAGGGAGTGAGAGGTAAGGGGGGGGGGGGCGGAGGTCATTGACAGGTAGTTATAGAGAGTGAGGGGAGGAAAGTCCTACATATAGAGGGGAAGGGGAAAGTAAAGTGCCCTTCCCCTTCCTGAATGTAAATTAGTCTTACAGGTAGGTACTGTACGTAGTGAGGGGAGGGGAGATCTTACAGGTAGGTAGGAAGTGAAGGAAAGTCTTGCAAGTAATAAGGGAAGCAGAGTTAATATGCCTTTGTGGTTGTTACCATTATTATCATTATTACCGCCGGGTATTGTTATTGTTGTTATTATTATTATTATTATTATTATTATTATTATTATTATTATTATTATTATTATTATTATTATTATTGCTGTTGTTGTTGTTGTTATTATTATTATTATTATTTTATTATTATTATTATTATTATTATTATTATTATTATTATTATTATTACTAATATTATTATTGTTGTTGTTGTTGTTGTTGTTGTTGTTGTTGTTGCTGTTATTATTATTATTATTATTATTATTAGTTATTATTATTATTATTATTATTATTATTATTGTTATTAACGACGGTCTCCTCACCCTCCCGCCCTCTAAGGCTCTCCCGGTCCCCTGACGCCGCCTGGGAGTGAGGGTGTGAGCGGGTATATGGGCGTGACACAGGACCACACGCCTCTGCACACACCCACAATCACCAACACCGCCCACGTCTCCGCCTACCAGCCCCCACATCACCACCATCATCACCACCATCACCACGACCTAGCGGCCCTCCACGGTAAGTACATAATGGCGTTTTTCACACTAAAATTTTCACTTTACAAACACTTACAAATGCCCTACAGTGAGGAGTGAGAGATACTGTGGGTGGCCAGACTTACCGTGTGACCCTGGGCGAGGAACGTGTGTGTGGTTTGTCTGTAAAAGAAAGAAAACAGACCATATAAGACGCTTAGTATGTATTATTATTCTAATTTTTAGCAGAAATAGATTTAGGTGAATATATCCCTTCAATAATTAGAGTATTACATGCGTATGTTTATCAATCTATATATCTATTAATATAAATACACATAGATACATAATTATAGATATATACACATAGATACATAATTATAGATACATACATATAGATATAAAGAAATGGATAAAGAGATAAAATGTATACATAATTACTCTCGTTTTAAGTCGAAAATACCACACCAAATGACACCCTGCGTTTAAGAAGTTATGTACTCACATAAACAAAAAATATCCTGCAAAACTGACCCATTACAACCACTTTCTAGATAAGCGACCGCTCTCTCCACACACTGCTGAGTTTACTAGAAAGTTAAGAGGTTATAATTATCAGGGATTCAAAGTTGTCACGATAGTATTTATTTAAACTGCGTGTGTGTGTGTGTGAGAGAGAGAGAAAGAGAATTGAGTGTGTGTGTGTGAGAGAGGTGTGTGTAGAGAGAGAGAGAGAGAGAGAGAGAGAGAGAGAGAGAGAGAGAGAGAGAGAGAGAGAGAGAGAGAGAGAGAGAGAGAGGACGTAAGCTAGCACACCCAGTAACGCTACCCTGGCACTGTCCCGCGGGTCATGTCGCTCCCGTCGTCACTTGTCTCTCAGGTCAGCTAGGGTCAAGGGAGGTCACGCAGGGAGAGGAGAGGGAGAGAGAGAGAGAGAGAGAGAGAGAGAGAGAGAGGAGAGAGAGAGAGAGAGAGAGAGAGAGAGAGAGAGAGATAACATGTTTTTATATATTGGTTAAAATGTTTGAAATTTCCCTGTTGTCCTCTGTCTGTCTGTCATTTTCCGGCCGAGAACTCGTATAGACACGAAATGATATGAAATACGTCATTTATTATGAACAAAGTTAAACTAAATAGATTAATAGTGGCACTTTAATTGTAGTTATGGTTTTGAAGACTAATTTATATAACTTGGTAGGACGTCCACGCGTTCTGTCCTCTTGTGGTGACGTAGTTGTGACGTGACTCGTAAATTCACCAATGAGAAACGCTGATTGAAGCTGGACTGCACCTGAGTTATGTCACCACCTAACACCGGATGCTGCCTTAAAACTGTGACCTCACTATGTTCTTTCCTTTTGATTTACATATTAAAGCAACTTTAGGGATTGTCAGAAGAGAAACATTTTTTTTTACTTCAAGAAACACCTGAAGATTTACTTGGAATTCACGCTAGTCTGGGGATTCTAAGTTGTAAGTCTTCTAAGAGGTATTATTTCTAAGCGTGTGGTAACTTGGTAAGCTGATGCATTCTCTAAAGCAAGATATTTCAGTGGTTCATTGCCTGACCTTGATGTCTGCTTACACTCGAGATACTATGAATTTTTCCCCCAAGACGTAAGTTAAAGTACGTAAATAAAGTTCAAAATGACGTTAATATTACACTAAGACTTTAACTCTACTAGCTACACTCACTTGGCATTAGTTAGAGGCATAATAGCAATATGAACCATCACTGTGATTCTCTTAAGTAAATTTGTGATAACGCTTCTAAATGTCTTAATTTAGCTGCCGCGGACAGTTGGTGGTTAAAATGATACTTTTTTGTGTTAATTTGTGTTCTTTAATATCTAGTTGATATAGAAAGCATCTAACTTAAATTCCTAAACAAAGAACGCGTTCAAAAACGTTCGTCCCTAATAAGGACGGGAACACAGTTGACTTAATTAAGACAGGCGTTCCTTTGTCCCTAGTTCGGAGGATTAAGGAGTTAACCTCGTGATAATTCGGACCTTAAACCCTTAGAGGATGATGTGTGTAAAAAACGGGGAAAATTGTGTTGGATGAGCGGCGTTGTGGGCGGTGTTGTGTTGTTGTTGTCGACGGGCGTGAGGCGCTGGTGTTGACGGCCGGTGACAAATTGCGCGCCAAAACAAGTGACGTCTGGGATGCGTGAGGAACACCATGACTCCTTAATTAATTTTCTCTCCCTTAAAAATTAAAAAATACATATATCCTTGGCGGTCGAGTGTGTTATTTTTTATATATTTATTTTATATATTAACTTTTTGATAGTGCGAATTATTTTTTTGTTTTGTTTCATGTCTTTCAGTGTTAATTTTCTGATGTATAAACTAATTGTTTTTTAAACCTTTTTAACCGAATCAATTATGAGATGAGCTTCGGGTATCTGTGTGTGTGTGTCTCTCTATCCACTTTTCTTCGTTTTACCTTTCCATCTCTTTCCCTCACTCACCTTCCTAGCTCCTCCCCCCATGTATCTCTTCCTCCCCGTCCTTCAATTCCATTCCCTCCTCTTCCTGTTTTCCTGGTGCCACAGGATGAAAAAGGAGGAGGAGGAGAAGGATAACTAAGAGGATAAAGATGAAGACCAAGAAGATATCAAGGAAGAAGAGGAGAAAAATAATGATGAGTAATACGAAGAAGAAGAGGAAGAAGAGAATAAAGACGACGACGGCGACGAAAAAGAAGACAAGGAAAAAAGACGACAAAGAAAAAAAGAGGAATTTACGAAACAAGAAGAGAAGGACAACGAAGAAGAAAGGGAGGAAGACAAAAACAAAAAGAGAAGAACGACGAAGGAGGAGGAGGAGAGATAAGCCTCCAGCGTGGGAACTGCCGAACTCAAGAGGCGTGGACCAACCTACCGGAAGATTAATGAACGTCTCCTTCAAGGGATGGGGGGAGGGACGCCGTGTGTCAGGAGGGCCATGGGAAACAGAGAGAGAGAGAGAGAGACTTCATGTAGACATAAGTCGTGTTGTTGCTGTTTTTGTTTTTGACAGCTAAAGTGCCAAGAAAGTTGTGGCACTCTTGGAAATGATGTGCTAGATGGGGATATACAGACAGAGAGAGGCAGTGTAAAATAAACAGATAGACAGAGTTATATAAAGCAGACAGACAAGCAAAGCAAAGAGGATTGTTATGTAATGGTACTCAGATGACCATGAAAACTGGATAACTGTGGGGGAGACAGACAGACAGACAGACAGAGAGAGATGTAGCAAACAAACAAGGTGTATGAAACGGAACAAAACAGGAATGAAGACATATAAACAGACAGCAATTAAGCAGATGGACTTGCAAACAAGCAATCAAGCCAATTGCACAAACAGACGAACAAACATACAGATATATAGACACGCAAGAAACAGACGAATTTTCAGGCAAAAAGACTTATTATTATTATTATTATTATTATTATTATTATTATTATTATTATTATTATTATTATTTTACCCTGGTTAGAAGACGGTTTTCTTTAAAGATGACGAACATTTATTTTTTTTTACCCAAGAGAAAACAATGCTTGAGATTTATGTAAATATCATTAGAATTTTCATAGCAGTTGTTCCTCAGGTAATGTCTGTCTCCTACATTGTTTGCTGGGAACGTGACACTGTTAAGTTTATAGCCACCTACAGTACATAGGGTTGAAATACATAGCTCGTTTATTGATAACGTACTGTGTCAATACAACTAATTGTCATATAAGAATCTAATCATATATATATTGTTGATTCAATAGATAAATACAAAGTTAAATTAGAGAATGAAAACAAGATTTGACAGAATTTCCGAAGTTTGGATTTAAGTAATCAAAATTGGATACGCCGACATGTTACAATCACCCCACTTGACCAACTTCCCCTACAAGCACCCAAACGTCACACTAACAAGCCCAACAAGCAGGTTACAGGACACGATAATCCTTCCCCTAAGTAGCTACACGGAACACAACTACCGCGAGGACACTGACGCCTTTCTTAGACCTAAAGAGGGGGATATCCTCGACCTCAGGGAAAAAACATTGGAGGATAAAAAAGGATTCTATTGCCTGGTCTGAGTTATCTTGTAGGACACGAACAGAGAATTTCACGAGTCCTGAGAATTCCTTTTAGGCAGCAGGAGCCATAGTACCCGGATAGGACTTTCGGAGATTCCTTCTAAGCCAGATATAGCAAGAGGATGCGAGACTGGGTGGTGGTAATGATGCTGATAGTGGTGATGCTAGTAGTGATTAGTGGTGATAGTTGTGATGGTGTTGGTGACGGTGGTAGTAGTGTTAATGGTGATGATGGTAGGGTTTTTGATTCTGGTAATAATGGTGATGGTGGTGCTGTTGTTGGTGGTGAAACTGGCAGTGGTTTTGATTATAGTGTCGGTAGAGGCGCTTCTGTAATGGTGGTGGTATGGTTGGTAGAGTGGTGGTAGCTGTGGTGGTACTTGCAGAGGATGGTGGTTGTGTTTGTAAAGGGTGATGGTGGTAGCGATGATAGTAGTGATGGTACTGCGCTGGTAAAGGATGAAGGTGATAATGGATAATGGTAATAGAGAATAGTGGTTGTGCTAATAAGAGGGTGGTGGTTGTGCTAGTAGAGGATGATGGTTGTGTTAGTAGAGGATGATGGTTGTGCTAGTAGAGGATGGTGATAGTGCTAGTAGAGGATGGTGATAGTGCTAGTAGAGGATTGTGGTTGTGCTAGTAAAGGATTGTGGTTGTGTTAGTAGAGGATGGTGGTAGTGGCGGGACGAATGACAACATCAACAGGAGTGTGTGTAGCCACGTACCCGCCACAAGTGTCGTCTCATCCCTGTACACAAACCCTCAGTCCCTGCCCTTATCTACCGCTGGTGTGTGTACGTGTGTGTGTGTGTGTGTGTTTCTGTGTGTGTGTGTGTGTGTGTGTGTGTGTGTGTGTGTGTGTGTGTGTACAGTATTTATAATGGAAGGAGAAAACAATGTAAAAAAAAAGTAGACAAAAAGTCACTAGTTTCATAATCAAGAAAGTATTTGAAGGG